CAGAACTCAATCTATACATAGAAGTATTTCAAGTAAAATAAACCTACAAGACTAGAAATAGGGAACCAGAAATATCAAAGTATAATGAAGTCAATTGCAAAGCAAAAAGAGAAAATAGTGTAGATACAGAACTTACAAATGGTGAGGAAATTAGATAGATTTGAAGATAAAACAGAAACGTTAAAAACAATACACCTACACATCAAAATAAAAAAAGAGGAAAATCGGAAATATTGGTAAACCTTAACACAACAGAAATGAAAATGAAAAGAAGGCCCATAAATAAAATGAATTCAGCATTGAAAATTGCATGGAACAAAGACTCTAGCAGCACCACACACAAAAACAACAACAACAACAACAACAAAAGAGACACAGAAAAATGAAAATAGTCAATTCATAGCTATAGATAGTTGCACTGAATGTAAATGGATTAAATGTACCAGTCAAGAGACATAAAGATGTGCACACCTAAGCCCATGGACAAGGACATAGCCAGAAGCATCTAGCTGATATGAAGTGAGGGGAGATGCACAAGAACCCCCAAAGTTGCAGATGGTACCCATTTAACCTAGCCTCCATGGCTTGATAATCAGAACTCGACTAGAGGAAGATAAGAAAAAAAGAAAAAATAATTTTTGATAAATGAAACAAGGGTAAATTGCTACAGTTTGATGAACTTGACCTATACTCATGGAGGTGGTAACTCTAAATACCAACAGAGAAGGAAGGAGTCTGTACACAGGGTAGATAGGGACAGACTTAGACATTGGCTGCCTAAAATGAGGGGGTGATAAAGGGTCAAAGTGACTGGCTTACAAGGTTTCTAGGGGGAGTTTAGTTTAGTGGAGGAAGAAAGAGTCCCCACTAAATAGTTTTCATCTTGTCTAGATGGGTCTGCTTAAAAGAAATGAGGATAAGATTTTATGATTCAATAGTGAGTAATTGTTATCATGACTAATTGCAACTCTCACAATGGGAATGTTGAAGTTTTATAACAAAAATGGGAGAGTAATTAATCTTACAGTCCAGAAACAAAGGACCCTAGGACCATCAAGGGAGAACAGCACAAGAGGAACGTGAGACCTTATCTAGAGAAGCAGTAACACCAGAGATGGTGGCAGAGATGGGGACAAGGAGAGAGGGAGCAACTAAGGACTCTAGATTCATGGGAAGAGAGGGACTAAGAGATGGCGGCCAGGAGGCAGATGTGCAGAATGTGCCCTTTGGTGGTGTAAATTATTATATATGCCTGAGTGGTTTTTTTTAAAAAAAAAAAGAGCTAAAATGAAAAGGAGCTCTGGTAGCGTAGTGGTTACAAATTGGGCTGTGAACCTTAAGGTGAGCAGTTTGAAACTACCAGCTGCTCCGCAGGAGAAAGAAGAGGCTTTCTGCTTTTCAGCCTCAGAAACCCTGTACAGGGTCGCTATGGGTCGGAACCGACTTGACGGCACTTAGCAACAACAACAAAGTGAATAGAGAGAAATATAGTTAACTGATAGTATATGGAAGGGATTATAATCATTGTAATGAAACAAGGTGTATGATTTGTTGAATGTAAAACTGATGTTCTGCCCTGTAAACTTTTACTCAATCCACAATTTAAAAAAACCCAAAAACATAAAGAACAGAATGGATAAGAAAATATGATCTTCAGTGTACTGTCTACAAGAGACATATCAAAAACATGGAGATGGCCTAAATATCCATCAACAGAAGAATAATTAAACTTTGGTGCAGAAACACAGTGGAATGCTACAAAACACTGAAGAATAATCATGAATCTGGAACACCTCATGTGGTTGAACCCAGAGGATAGTATGCTGAGTGAAATTAGTCACCAAAGGACAAACATTGTATGAGACCAATGTTATAAAAAGTTTTTAAAAAGAGGGTTTTTTGTTTTGTTTTGTTTTTATAAAAGAAACATCCATGATGGTTATGGGTGGGGTTGGGAGAGAGATTATTCATGGGCTAGATGGCAGACACATACTAACATGGATGACAGGGCAGGCAATATATAACAAGAGAGGCTGGCAGAGGAAAGACGAAAAGTAGAAGGAGACACAGGAAAGAATACAATAGTTAAAATGAATAGAAGTAAATGGTGTTAACTGATGATACACGAAGGCGATTACAATCATGTAATAAAGCAAAGTATATGATCGTTGAATGTAAAACTGATGATCTGCTTCTGTAAGCCTTCACTCAATTCACAACAAAAATTAGTGACCTTTGACAAAGAATTAAAGTAGCTGTGGGATTGAAATAACTTGAAATAGCTTATTAAAATCAATGTATAAAAAATATTTCAAATGCTTAGAAGACTCAGATTCTAGATAAGCCTGCTTTAAAGTACTCTGGGACCAAGACAACCTGAAAACATGGAAGCTAGATGTATCTTGACTCTAGATGAGTCAAGAGAAAGAATTTTGTCCATGTCACCCATATTTGTGACCTACCTACTGTGTGCCAGGTGTAGTGTGGGACTCTGGGGGCAGAGATGTGTAAGACTGGATTTCTTCTCAAGGAGTTTAGTTAGCAAAGACCCAATATGGCTAATCACAGTAACAATAGCTAATTGAGCTGACTAATTTCTTTGATTAGGGTATCAAAGGAAGCAAAATTTGAGCTGGGCTTGGAGATTCCATTCCGTGTTGATTTTGGAAGGCAGAGACTGCACCCTGATCTATGTCACAGTGGTGGATATTAGTGGTGGTCTTGGGAAGTAGTCTGTGTGATCGGAAAAGGCAAAGGGTGAATTGGAAATACTGAGTTGGTTCTAAGCTACGAAGTTTTGATATTCAACTTAAGGAATTTGGACTTCATTCTGTCAGTAACTGTTGTTGTCGTTAAGTGCCTTCGAGTTGGTTCTGACCCATAGCAACCCTGTACAGGGTTTCTGAGGAGCAGCTGGTGAGCTTGAACCATTGACCTTGCGGTTCAAACTGACTTTGCAGTCCAACTTGGCAGTCCAGAACCTACAACTTACAAAAACGAATTATATTTTAAAAATAAAAATAAACACAAAAATATATAAGACCAAGTCAAAAACTATTGGTACCAAATCACTGTTGTTGTTGTTGTTAAGTATCTTCAAGTCAGTTCCAACTCATAGCGACCCTGTATAAGGTTTCTGAGTAGCAGCTGGTGGGTTTGAACTCTCGGACTTGTGATTTGCAGTCCAGTGCTGATCCACAGTGCCAAACCAGAAGTCCACCAAATCATAGAAGCTTTTATTAAACAAAAATATCAAAATGTGATGCTATTTTTTTTTTTTTTTGATATATCCTCCATCTAGGTCTATATACTTCTGAAGGTGGTATTTCCATCTCCCTGGTGTGGTGGGAGTCCTGGTGTGGCACTGTGGGTTAATGCGCCAGACTGCAAAGTCATTTGAACTGCAAGGTTGGCGGTTCAAGCTCACCAGCTACTTCTTGGAAACTTTATACAGGGTCGCTATGGGTTGGAACTGACTGGATGGCACTTTACAACATAACAAGCCCTTCCCTGGGCATTTCTGTGATCTTCAATTTACTGGTCAAAACAACAGTTTGGCATCTTTGAGGAACTCAAATTGTGTTCTTTGAGTTCAGGGAACAAAAAGAAGTCTGAAGGGGCAAGATTAGGACTGTAGGGTGGATGGGGTAAGGATCTACAATAAAATTGTCATAGGACAAATCTTGCTATTCTTAAAGAATGAGCAGATGCATTATTGTGACAGAAAAAATTCCTTGGTGCAATTTTCTTGTCCTTTTTCTTACCAATACGTTTTCCATTTTCTTAAAACTTCTTTTTAATAAGTCCCCATGATTGTCCTGTGTCCTTTAAGAAAATCTGTCAAGATGACCCCTTTGGAACTCCAAAAAAAACTTGCCATAACTTTATGAACTGACTTCTCTGTTTTAATTTACCTGGTCCAGCAGATCCCCTCAAAAGCCAACCACTGTTTTGATTGTACCTATGTGAACACATCCTAACAAGACTAAGACAAGTATACTCCTGAGAGAATGTGTCTACAGCCATCCACTGATCACAGAGACATGTTTATACATGTTTTGATTAGAATAAACCCATGCATCTATGAACTAGAATGCTAGTGGTGGTGCCGGTGGGTGTGTGCCACCGAGTCAATTCCAACCTTGTGTAGCGTTTCTGAGGCTGTAAATCTTTACACGAGCAAAAAGCCTCATTTTTCTCCTATGGAGCAACTAGTAGATTTGAACTGCTGACCTTGCAGTTAACAGCCTAGCTCACTGCCAGGGCTTCTTGGAATGCAAGTAGCGATACTTTTTTTGCTTTCTTTGGTAAATACATGCTCAATGAAAGAGACTGTTGTTGTTGTTCCAATCCACAGTGACCCAGTATAGTGTTTCCGAGGAGTGGCTGGCTAATTTGAACCACACGCTTGGGGGTTCAAATTGACCCTGCAGTCCAGTGTTTATCCTACAATGCTATACCAGGACTCCATTGAAAGAGATGAAATGATATTAGATTATGAGTTAGAACCAACTTGATGGTAACTCACAACAACACAGAGTCTATAAAGGGTCCCTGGGTGGTACAAATGGTTCATGTGCTTATCAGCTACTGAACGGTGGGTGGTTCAAGTCCCTTCAAAGGCCTGGAGATCTACTTCCAACAAATCAGTGATTGAAAACCCGCTGGAGCACAGTTCTACACTAATACATGGGTCACTATGAGTTTAAGCTGACTCAGTGACAACTGGTGCTGGTTTAAAGTCTATAAAGCAGTAAGGAAAATGCTCCACTTCTCAGAGGTAACTACAGTTCCCAGACTTTATGGCGTTTTTCATGTACTTAAATCTATATAGCTAGAGCTCTAGTCACATGAAAGTTAAGCCCTAGAAGTAGGATGGAAAATGCTTCAATTAGTCTCTTTCTCTTTTCTCCCGACAACCCACTCATACCCTTTAAAATCTAAGGAAGTCTATGCTGTTTCTTTTCACATGACTCATTTTGCTCTCCTTTTTATTTCAGAACATGGTTTTATTGGATATTCACCAGAAGTGCTGCAAAACAACGCTCTACCCGATTACAGCCCTGGGGAGTCTTTCTTCACTGTCTTTGGAGTGTTCTTCCCTGCAGCTACAGGTACTATAAGTTCTTTTTCACTTTCATATTGGAGTTACAAATATTCGTTCCCCAAACTAAGTATCATAATTGACCTGCATGTCCTTTTAACATGCATATTTCTCTGATTCTAGGAAATGGCCTTAGCTTTGATTGTTGTTGTTGTTATGTGCCATCGAGTCGGTTCCGACCCATAGCGACCCTGTATAGGGTTTCCGAGGGTGTAAATCTTTACGGGAGTAGAAAGCCTCATCTTTCTCCCGCGGAGCAGCTGGTAGTTTCGAACCGCTGACCTTAAGGTTCGCAGCCCGATTCGTAACCACTACGCTACCAGTAGCTTTGATTAAGAATCTATTATTTTAACAATTTAACTTATTTATAATTCCCAAAGGGCCTCATACACGATTTAATCCCTTATATATTTACATCTTTGGTCATGTTTATAGAGGGGGTATATTTCTTGTAAGACTAAACAAGATAGATTCCTCAGCAAGACAAGATAAATGCAGACCTGGTTTTGAAACCCTATTTTCCCCTTCCCCAACTCTGCCTCTTATCCTAAATGAGAAGCATACATTTTCTAGTCTTTTCTCTTTTTTGCCTCTTGTCTTTTATGTATAACTTTTTATATGCTGTATTTATACTATAAATGTTGCATAGTTTTCTTAACATTAAATCATATTTGGTTTTGTTGTTAAGTGCTGTCAAGTCAGTTCTGACCCGTAGTGACCCTGCATAAAGTTTCCGAGGAGCAGCTGGTGAGCTTGAACTGCTGACTTTGCAATTCAAATCGACTTTGCAGTCCAGCGCATTAACCCACAGTGCCACCCACACCAGGATTCCTGTTGTACATGAGGAGACTTCAAAAAGTTTTTGAAAAGATAATGGAAAATTTCCATGAATTTTAGAAGCCTTTTCAATTAACAAGGACAGTTCATAGTACAAATTCGATAATCTTTAAAAATTTTAAAGCATAAATTATTACATAAATTTTCTTTCCTTGTTGTTTTGGGTGTGGGCCAAACCAGGATCCCGTGGGCAATGACTAAATGTCTTACCCTACTTTTTCTCACTTTTCCCTTCTACACTGGCCATGAAGAACCTTCCAAAGCTGAGGTCCCTAGAGAACTCTTACCTCATGCTAGGTAGGTTTCCCAGTCTGGAATGCAGTAAATTAACATGTTGACCAAATGAGCTATAAGAAATAACCATTTGCTAGGGATATGGCACAGACTGAGAAAAGCATATCACTGTTGATCAAGAATTTATGGAAGACTTGGAATGTGCCTGATCTTGTCTCCTGTCTTCCTGTCAGTCTTCCTGTGGCCATTTCCTTGCTCATTACCCTCTCTCTTAATATGGATAGGGTTAGAAATGAAGAGGAGAAGTTCAAAACCAACAATTTTGTTTCTTTGCTTTACTTCTGGGAAAGGTTTTTCTAGGAGTAGAGGTTAAAACCCCTCCAAAGCATGAAGTTTGAGGACTAGATGTGAATTCTAGTGAACTATTTTCTTCCTTCCCTTACCTTCTCAATTACTTTTCAATCTTTTCCCCTACCCCTCATATTCATCATATTGGATAATTTTTATTGATTTATTTTCAGGTTCATTGACTTGATTCTCATTTTCAATATGCTCTTAAGATTATCCAGTGAATTTTCATGTCAGATATTTTAGTTGAGACTTCTTTTTTGCTCTTTATTGTGAGTTGGATGAAGGTTTATAGATCAGTTTCCCATTCAGTTTCCCATTGCAGTCTCCACAATGAAGTTTCACTTGGCCTACCTCCTCCCACATTTCTTGCTTCCATTCTTCCTTCTTTCCTAACCATTCTTAACTCTGTCCTTGGGTATATCCTACTCTTTTCATCTCAAATGGTTGCTTATCCTAAGGTGTGCATAACTCACTAGAGTTATTGTTTCCATTATAAATCTGCCTATTGTTTGACTGAAAACTGAGCCATGGGGGTGAACTCAGTTCCAGACCTGAATGGTGACTAAAGTGGATATAGTATTGGGAGTTCCACCAGTTTCTATCCGACCTGTAAGCCTGGTCTCTTTTATGATTTTGAGTTTTGTTCCACATGGTTCTCCTATTCTATCCAGGAACTTCTAATATGATTCCTTCAGAATGGTTGGTAGTGGTAGCTAGGCACCATCTAGTTCTTCTGGCTCAGGGTCATTGAAACTGATGTTTGCAAGGCCCATTCATCTTTTGGACAAATTGTCTCCCTGTATCTTTGATTTTCATCACTCTTCCTTCCTCTGGACAGGGAGAGACTAGTAATTGCCCCTCAAATGGTGGATTAACTAGCTTTTAAGACCCTAGTCATTACTTACCAAAGTAGGATGTAGAACATTGTTTTTGTGACTTGTGTTATGTCAACTGACCTTGGTGTTTCCTGAGACTATGGTCCTGAGCTCATTCCATCAAGTTTTTTTTTGTGTGTGTGTGTGTCTAAGAAGTATTCATAGCTTTGTCCCTGTATGTTCTATCACATTCAGGGATATATTTTGCAAAAAAATTTCCTCTATCAAATCTTATATATTTGTGGATGTATTCCCACTCTTCCTCACACATCCATTCAGCTGGCACGTCTATCCATGCATCTATTCATGTTGTTTTTAGGTGCCATTAAGTTGGTAGTGACTCACAGCAATCCTATGCACACCAGAGCAAAACACTGCCTGGTCCCTGTGCCAGCCTTACAATCTGCTACATTTGAGCGCATTGCTGCAGCCATTGTGCCAATCCATTTCATGGGCAGTCTTCCTCTCTTTTTCCGACCCTCCATTTTACCAAACATGAGATCTTCCTCCAGGAACTGGTCCCTCCAGACAATATGCTCAAAATATGAGAGACGAAGTCTAGCCATCCTGGCTTCCAAGGAGCATTCCGGCTGTGCTTCCTCCAGCACAGATTGGTTTATTCTTTAGAAAGTCCATGGTACTTCTATTATTCTCCACCAATACCATAACTCAAATACATCAGTTATCCTACAGTCTTCCTTATTCACTGTCCAACTTTCACGTGCACATAAGGTTGCTGAAAATACCATTACTAGGGTTAGGTGCACCTTAGTCCTCAAACTTATATTTTCACCCTTTAACACTTTAAAAAGGTCTTACGCAGCATATTTGCCTGATGTAATACATCATTTGATTTCTTGACTGCTGCTTCCAGGAGTGTTGATGGTTGATCTGAACAAAATGAAGTCTCTGACAACTTCAGTCTTTTCTCCATTTATATGGATATTATTTATTGATCCAGTAGTAAGGATTTTTGTTTTCTTTACATTGTGGTGCAACCCATAACGAAGACTATGATCTTTGATCTGCATCAGTAAGTATTGTTAAGTCCTCTTCACTTACAATACTGTAAGTAAGGTTGTATCATCTGCATATCACAAGTTGTTAATGAGCCTTCCTCCAATCCTGATGCCAAGTTCTTCTTCATATAATCCAATTTCTTGGATTATTTGCTCATCATACAAATTGCACGCCTTTCCTCCCATTCAGTGTTCCCTTGTTCTGTTGTACAGGTCTTTGTACAGGTTCCTCATGAGTCCAATTAAATGTTCTGGAATACTCATTCTCTGCAATGTTGTCCATAGCTTGTCATGAGCCACACAACGAAAAGCCTTTGTATAGTCAATAAAGCACAAGTAAATATCTTTCAGATTTTCCCAGCATTCAGCCAAGATCCATCTGATATCAACAATGATATCCCTTGTTCTACATCCTCATCTGATTTTGGCTTGAACATCTGGCAGTTCTCTATGTATAGTTGCAGTTTTTTTTTGACTGTTCTTTTGCAAAATTTTACTTGTGTGCACTATTAATGATATTGTCTGATGATTCTATTGGGTAACCTCTCTTTGGAATGGGCATAAATATGGCAATTGTCTTCCAAATTTCTTGCCATAGATGCATGAGTGCCTCCAGTGCTTTAGCAATTTGTCGAAAGATTTAGATTTGTACTCCAACAATTCCCGATGCCTTATTCTTTGCCAATGACTTTAATCCATCTTGGTCTTCTTTCAGTATCATTGGCTCTTGATCATATGCTACCTCTTAAAATGGTCGAACATCGACCATTTTTGGTACAGTGACTCTGTGTATTCCTTCCATCTTCTTTTGGTATTTTATGAATAGTTTGTCCATAGAATCCTTCAAAATTACAAGTTGAAGCTTCAATGTTTTCTTCAGTTCCTTTAGCTTGGGGAATGCTGAACATGTTATTCCCTTTTGGTTTTCTAACTCCAGGTCTTTGTACATTTCATTGTAATGTTTGACTTAGTCTTCTTGAGCTGACCTTTGAAATTTTCTATTCAACTCTTTTACCTCCTCATTTCTCCAGTTGCTTCCAGCATCTACACTGGAGAACAAGTTTCAGACTCTTTTCTGACATCCATTTTGGTCTTTTCCTTCTTTCTTGTCTTCTTAATGATCTTTTGCTTTCTTCCTGTATGATATTCTTGATGTCATCCCACAACTCTCTGGTTTTTGGTCTTTAGTGATCAGATCTGTTCTTCAGATGATCTCTAAACTCAGGTGGAGTATGTTCAGGGTCATATGTTGGCTCTTGTGGACTTCCTTTAATTTTCTTCAGCTTCAGCCTGAACTTGCATATGAGCAATTGATGGTCTGTTCCACAGTCTGCCCCTAGTCTTGTTTTGGCTGATGTTATGGAGCTTTTCCACCGTTTCTTACCACAGATGTAGTCAATTTGATTTCCATGCATTCCATCTGATGAAGTCCATGTGCATAGTTCTCTTTTATGTTGGTTAAAAAAGGTGTTTGTGATAAACAAGTCACTGGTCTTACAAAATTCTATCATGCAATCTCCAGCATTGTCTCTATCACCAAGACCATATTTTCTAACAAATGATCCTTCTTCTTTGTTTCCAACCTTTGCATTCCAATTGCCAGTAATTATCAATAAATTTTGATTGGATGTTTGATAAATGTCAAACTGAAGCAGTTAGTAGAATTCTTCAATTTTATCATCACTGGCTCTAGT